AGATCTCCAATATCCCCGGATATATTTATGGAAGAATTTGACCAGAAAGCTCTAGGCGGATTCCCCGATTCACACAAGGTATTCTGGCGTTATGTGGATGATACTTTCATCGTGATGAAACGAGACAAGGTTAGTGAGTTTTACAACTATCTGAATGAACTGAGTCCTCATATCAAACCTAGTATGGAGATAGAGTCAACCTCGGGTACACTGGCCTTTTTTAGACTGCATGACACACGAGGTCTGGGAAAAACTAAAAACCCTAGTACACGAGAAGCCAACCGACATTGGAGCAGTTTTAACTACTCGTCTGCCCATCCGAAGTCTGTTCGCCAGTATTGCCTCATCAATGTTCATGCGTTTAAAAGCCGTGTGCACAGAAGTCGTTGATTGGAAATTAGCCCAAAGTGAAGTGAAAAACAAACCTTGGAGCAGTGGACATCCAGTTAATTTGATTGGACGTCGGTTGCAAAGGGTGTTGGTACCGGTGGCGGAACCTAACGGGAAATGGACTGGGACTGCTCTTATTCCACAGAATCCAGGGACATCGGAGGTCATTCAAAGGATTCTAAACACAGCTGACATAAGAGTAGCTTTCCAGAGGGGGAACGCTGCGTGCTTTACACTGGTACAATTCGAAGATCGCCAGCTGACAGAATTAAGTGCTGTGTGTACAAATCAAGGTCTGTATAGGACAAACGGTCAGGGGACTTCACACGTGTGTCGCGTATGCCGAACCATCGTTCGCTGAAGAGAGTGCTGTCTTCCATGCCTAATTCAGAGAGGTGACCAACGCTTGACTTGACAGAGGAGTATAAAGGAGATCACGAAACGCTTGGGTGCTGTTGGTGCTACTCGCCTTCCAGGATGGGGACCGCGTGATCCTCACTGTGCCTGGTTGGGAGACACTACAAGATATGGCCGCCAACCGATGTCAGTGGCGTTCTTGTTGTCAGTTTCTATCCAGATTGTCTGAGCGAGTCTGGAGGTGTAGGCACCTCGGAATGATTGTGGTAAGCTAGCACTAAGTCCCTTCCCTGTCCACCTTTACTCTTTTCTTTACAACAAGACTTTCAAATAAATCATGGTTGTACGGCAGTGAAGCATCGGTGTTGAACACCGAAGTCACGCTGTCGATGATGATGATGACACCAGAATCGGTGGGCACAGGAGGAAAATAAACAGGCCATCAAGAGACGCAGGTGAATATCGAGCGCAACTGGAAGACTCGACAATGGCGGAACATGCACTGGGCATGGGACAAAATATATTCAGAAAATGTTTGAGGCGAGCACTACTGTCCACGTCACAAACTGATGGTCAAGGCGGTAGAAATCGGCAAGCATCCCAGTGTCAACAGAATAGAAAGCATGGAGCTGGCAAGCGTATGGGGAACGGTTTCGGGTCAGTCGGTGAGGTTATCAGAAGGAGTAGTAGTCATCATCTGAGTTGCACTTAACCTCACCCACCTCCCCTCCCCCCAGCACTCACAAGCCCACGAAGAACAGCGAAATCTACCAGTAGCACCCGCGGTGAATCATCAACTGAAGCATCCTGAAGTGAAAGACTAATGAACCAAAGCCGATCAGAAGTAATTTGAAACTCCCACAACCCATCAACTCAAGAACCGAAAAGAGCCATTCGTTGACACTCAACACTGATCTAGTGCGCTGGTGTGAAGATATCTTACTAATTGGTTCTCCGTCTGCCTTACAACCTGACCAACTTGATGACCTGCTCACTTGACCTGATAAAGCTTTCGTGTCAAAAGCGAAACGTTTCCCAGTAAAAACCACCGATTGTCTGCCTTGCTCTTCTGAAACGACGACATTCATCCCGTTTGTCTTTGGATTGAACCGGGTTTTATGCACAATATGGAGTATGTTGAGTGAACACCGAACTTTGACTAGACACACGAGAACCTCTCTCGAAACTGTTCTTCGTCGATGAAACAGCTTAGGTGACACGTCCACCGTTGAATAACTTTCTTTCACGACCGAGGATTAAAATTTTTCTAGTTTTATGAAGTGATCTGTTTACTCCCTAATAGCTGGAGTTCTCTATGCCATTAACCCAAATTTAGTAGTCAGCTCTTCCCTTGAAAGACCAATATAATGGGCTCTTTGGATACACCAAATCGGCTGGCCATACCTAACTGGATCTGTCTTGGTTCGACCAAAAGTTGAACCCAGAATAATTACGCAGCAAAATTCATTTGAAGATGCGACATTTGCAATACAGTTTGAATGTGATTTGAAGAAACGATTGAGCGATGCATGGCACCTCGATATTTATCGAATTCCTAACAGTATTAGCAGTTCTCGTCATAATAAGTTACATCTCCATGATGACTTGTAGTTTGGATTGGGCTACGCTATGTGTCGCGAATGCTCTTTGTTTGTACAGCTGGGATCGCGGGAGCTAGTGACCCGTATGCAATATCATCACGTTATACTTCTACGTTCCAGCTACTGGAATGCAGAAGTACTCGCTGCAGACGATAGAGAAAACTGCATTCCCGTCTAAAACACTGATACAATGACAACTTCATAATCCAGGTTGAAAAGCATTGTATACACCAGCTATGGTCGACCCAACAACCCGGTAACCTACGTCAAACAGACATCTTGTGACTAACAACCTTCAATATGGCCACGTGACTTTGCACGGCTGTCTTAGTACTGGGGTGTTCGTTCCTTTACGGTGTGATCGATTTTGCTTGATTTATTTGGACTCGTAGTGGATAGACGTACCTCGAAAGCACTCCGTTTGAGGGAGGGTTCTCTATCACATTTTATGTTCTATTGCTGGAAACCGTTTTAATAGCGTTGTCGATTCCCATACGCTAGAGCTAAGTGCAAAACACTAATTGCACGGACTTGTTTGTTAGCACTATATCTACGGGTATTTCTGAATTTTACACCTCCAGGACTGAAATATATACTGCAATAGACCCAACAGTGGTCTTACTGCCAGTATGCCTAACCTCAATCTTTGAAGTCATGATCATCTTCCACCGAATGCCCAGTACGTCATATTCTTCCACATGGTTTCTATCTCGGCAGCAACGGACATTTTAAAGTAGACGTCAAATACATGTCCCCACTCTCACATGCAATTTGAACTAAACCCGCCATTTTGTTTGGAAAAATCGCCACTCGTACGTCGCCCAGTACGTCATATTCTTCCACATGGTTTCTATCTCGGCAGCAACGGACATTTTAAAGTAGACGTCAAATACATGTCCCCACTCACATGCAAATTTGACTTACATCTGCCATTTTGTTTGGAAAAATCGCCACTCGTACGTCGCCCAGTACGTCATATTCTTCCACATGGTTTCTATCTCGGCAGCAACGGACATTTTAAAGTAGACGTCAAATACATGTCCCCACTCACATGCAAATTTGACTTACATCTGCCATTTTGTTTGGAAAAATCGCCACTCGTACGTCGCCCAGTACGTCATATTCTTCCACATGGTTTCTATCTCGGCAGCAACGGACATTTTAAAGTAGACGTCAAATACATGTCCCCACTCACATGCAAATTTGACTTACATCTGCCATTTTGTTTGGAAAAATCGCCACTCGTACGTCGCCCAGTACGTCATATTCTTCCACATGGTTTCTATCTCGGCAGCAACGGACATTTTAAAGTAGACGTCAAATACATGTCCCCACTCACATGCAAATTTGACTTACATCTGCCATTTTGTTTGGAAAAATCGCCACTCGTACGTCGCCCAGTACGTCATATTCTTCCACATGGTTTCTATCTCGGCAGCAACGGACATTTTAAAGTAGACGTCAAATACATGTCCCCACTCACATGCAAATTTGACTTACATCTGCCATTTTGTTTGGAAAAATCGCCACTCGTACGTCGCCCAGTACGTCATATTCTTCCACATGGTTTCTATCTCGGCAGCAACGGACATTTTAAAGTAGACGTCAAATACATGTCCCCACTCACATGCAAATTTGACTTACATCTGCCATTTTGTTTGGAAAAATCGCCACTCGTACGTCGCCCAGTACGTCATATTCTTCCACATGGTTTCTATCTCGGCAGCAACGGACATTTTAAAGTAGACGTCAAATACATGTCCCCACTCACATGCAAATTTGACTTACATCTGCCATTTTGTTTGGAAAAATCGCCACTCGTACGTCGCCCAGTACGTCATATTCTTCCACATGGTTTCTATCTCGGCAGCAACGGACATTTTAAAGTAGACGTCAAATACATGTCCCCACTCACATGCAAATTTGACTTACATCTGCCATTTTGTTTGGAAAAATCGCCACTCGTACGTCGCCCAGTACGTCATATTCTTCCACATGGTTTCTATCTCGGCAGCAACGGACATTTTAAAGTAGACGTCAAATACATGTCCCCACTCACATGCAAATTTGACTTACATCTGCCATTTTGTTTGGAAAAATCGCCACTCGTACGTCGCCCAGTACGTCATATTCTTCCACATGGTTTCTATCTCGGCAGCAACGGACATTTTAAAGTAGACGTCAAATACATGTCCCCACTCACATGCAAATTTGACTTACATCTGCCATTTTGTTTGGAAAAATCGCCACTCGTACGTCGCCCAGTACGTCATATTCTTCCACATGGTTTCTATCTCGGCAGCAACGGACATTTTAAAGTAGACGTCAAATACATGTCCCCACTCACATGCAAATTTGACTTACATCTGCCATTTTGTTTGGAAAAATCGCCACTCGTACGTCGCCCAGTACGTCATATTCTTCCACATGGTTTCTATCTCGGCAGCAACGGACATTTTAAAGTAGACGTCAAATACATGTCCCCACTCACATGCAAATTTGACTTACATCTGCCATTTTGTTTGGAAAAATCGCCACTCGTACGTCGCCCAGTACGTCATATTCTTCCACATGGTTTCTATCTCGGCAGCAACGGACATTTTAAAGTAGACGTCAAATACATGTCCCCACTCACATGCAAATTTGACTTACATCTGCCATTTTGTTGGGAAAAATCGCCACTCGATGTTCACCAGCTGCGCGATACTCCGAACATAAGTACACTCCCATCGATTCCGCAACAAATTGATTGAGCATGAGACTCTTCACTGACTCCGGTGCACCTGATGGAGGGTTGGCGTGAAGTCGAATGTAACGAAGTCGTTCGTTGACAGGTTTACCAAGAATTGATGCAGCACAGTCATCTCGTATTTTTTTGGAAAGCTGTAATGGCAGTTAGTGCAAGTTCAGGATGTGATAGCCACGGCGCAGGCACTCACAAACAAAGAAACATAGCTTTGAGTCAGAAAGTTTCCAGCACGCTGCAGGTGGATTTTAATCTTTCAGAAAATGGATTACTTCACAGATACATTTACATTGAATATAAATCGAAATTCCACGCTGGAAGGAAGGAACGAAAGTAGGTGCATATGTCAGGGCTTTAAAGTGCGTGTCCATCGGACCAACACATACTAACTTGAAAGAATGCGGCTTGTGGGTCAGCTCATATTGATGACCTACCTTATCCATGGAAACTGTTGAAATCGGAATAAATCCGGCAAGTATAGTGGCTGGAACTGAATCCCGTCATTCATGATCGTAGAAGCCGTTCAGTGGTAGTATTCCTTCGATCCATCGTCAGAGACGGCAACATCAGTCCTGACACTGAAGCTTCATCGCCTTATAACCATTAGGCTCGTCCAATCATATTTGAAGCCTTTGAGTGAAAGATGCGAAAAAGTGTGTGTGGGAGGAGTTCCAGTGTTGTCCTATGTCAAGCATTCTGAGGTGCCTACACCTCCAAGTGCGCGATCAAACAATCTGGAAAGAAAATGACAGCACGGACGCCACTGACATCCATCAGTTGCCATTTCTTGCAATGTCCCCAGCCAAGCGCAGTGTGGGTCATAGTGACATCAACACCAGCAACATCCAAACTCTTTACAATATCTTCTACGGCCTTCTGCCGAGTCGTACGTTATCCACATTACGGTTTGCACCATTCTGAGGGAGGCACGGAGAACAACACTCGTCTCGATAGACGGTGTTTTGTCATACGTAGCACATGTGTTGGATGTTTTCCGCGATTGAAGTACCTGGTGTATAACCAAACTCCCGTTTTATGGTAAACTCATCACTAATCCGTTGGCGCCAACCTAAAGACGCCTCACATCATCTGTCCGCAGATGCATATTTCCCGCGTGAGTCGAGGGAAGCACAGGGACTGAGATGTGGTCAGGTTGCCGAGCCTAGATGGAAGCAATAGAAAATTCAGGGTCAAGGTTGAACCCTGTGACCAAAAGAGGGGATTATTGAAGCCCAGCATTTGCAGTTCCTGAAGCTGCTCCTTACACTTCAAGGCGAATCATTGTAGGTTATGGAGAATTTTACATACCTCGCTGGTTATCTTTGCTCCGACGAAGGTGTCTAATGGAGTCAGTGCATGAATCTCAAAGGCCCAGATAGCGTTTGCCAATTTGCGTCGTTTGTGGAATCAAAAAGGCAAATCAGTTGGTCTCAAGGATCGCAAGTATCCTACTACAGTAAGGGTTGTGTTGTTGTATAGTTGCGTGACATGCCCTCTGCGGATAGATGATGTGAGGCGCCATCAGGCTTTTAACCACCAAGGCCTCAGAAATTTTGCTGGCGTCGGATGGCGTCAGCAGATTCATAACGAGGTTGCAGGTACGTCAATCGTGGGAAACATCGAGAACCGTCAACTGCGGTGACCCGGTCATGTGCAACACATATGGAAACACCGTCTGCCGAGACCAGTGTTGCTTTCCGTGTTTCATTCAGAGTGGTGCAAATTGCCAAGTTGGCAACGTATAACTTGGCACAAGTGTACGAAAAGTTTAACTGTTCTTGATGTGGCACGCCTTGGAGAGTGGGGTTCTCATGATCCCTCCAGTGCTTCGCTTGAGAGCTCGCAAGAAATGGCGACTGATCTTTATCGGTGGCGTTTTTGATGTCAGTTTCTTTACAGATTGTGTGACGTGGAGGCGTTGGCAACTCCAGATTGGTTGCGATAGGCCATCACCAGGTCCTTTACCTCACCCACTTATCCTCTTCTTTTCATTCTAAGGTTTCAAATACAGTCAGGTAGACTTTTGTGGCTGGCGTAAACACTGCCGGAAACTCAATTACAGCAACAGAATAAATCAAGTTACAGATATTAGGAGACCACTGTCAGGTAGAAAGTATTATCGTTTCAGTCTGCACGTCTTGTTACTTCAGTGTCGATGCTTTCAGTGTGATTTTTCCAACAAGCTGTTTTGTTCTGCCCCTTCCAGCCCATATGGTTCCTCCCAAACTGTTGGGTAGCTTTTATGTTTTTCATAACACCTTCTTGCCTTTACATACCATTGTTTTGTCCGATTTTTCGCATTCCAGTATACGACCGAAATGGGTATTTGGTTGTACCGGAGTACCACATCAGAATCAGCTTCTGGAAAGTAGATAGTACGCCTAGCGTGTGACCTTGACGTCACACAGTTCAGGCCATCCTGGAGGCACTTTTTTTGGTTACTCAACTAAACATCATTAATTAGTATGCCGAGTAGAACAAGTATGCCGAGGTCGCTGGCCCATCAACGGAAAGTCGAATGTGTTGTAATCCACGTAGCTTAGGGATCGCTTCGACAACACATCTGCTGTATCCGCATGGGGAAGTTTCATCTACCTCAAAAGCTTTCTCTTCGTCTCGAGGAGTATATTCTCTGGGATACCGTCGATGGGACTAGCCCTGCACATTTGTTTATATTTCTGGAAAGGGAGCTTTACTACCACAGAGTTTAGATCTTCCCAACCATCTCTCTGGATTCCGTTCATACACTCTTCACTCAGTTGTGGTTCTCGTTAACTCCGTCGAATTAGTACATCTTCTGAGCTTTATACGCTGTCCGTGAGCTCTTTCAAAGACATCTGACTCTTAATAGCTGGTCTTGAAAGAAAACACCTTTAGATCAACTACGAACCACTTGGCACGAATTGATTCATCATTTAAGCTTCGCCTGTATCTCTGTTCCATTCTGTGTATCTCTGTATATCAGCTACGATCGGGCTATTTTGTGGAACGCAGTTTATACTAGTGAGCTGTGCTCCTTGTGGCGAATCCTGGTCGCCGGACTGCCGAAAAATTCTTTGTCGTTCCACACCAATAATGATTTGCACTTGCTGTATGTCCGTCGTTAAATTGAAGGAGAGCACTTTTCTGACTCATTTCACATATGACATTGATAATCGCAGTCAGCCACATGGACATTTCCCCCTCTGTTTACCTTAATGAGTATTTTCTTCACTCTGATTAGTCGTTGATAGAATAGATATGGCTCTTGTTACTGCACGTGCCATCTTCACCCAGACAGTACAAGTCATACCCTCCAGGCTATTCTCGTTACTTTTGGTTTATCAGTTTAAAGCCAGGTGCCGATCCCGTCTGTGAGCAGCTGTCACCAGACGAGCCGAATGCATTGGCCATCTGATCCCCTAACCTTGGTCGTTCATTTGGTGTACGGTTGCGCTTTATGCGATATAACTCACGTAAATTTGTGGTTAGCACTGCGAAATGCAGTAGCTATGGAATGAGATTGGTGATATCGACTATACAGTATGCATGAAATGCCGGTTAAGAGGTGCTGAGTTATTGGTCGTGTCTTTGTTCTCAGACCAACACGATGGATTGGTGATATCCTATGTCACACGTTCGATTCAATGTGTAATACCTTTTCAGACTACGATATTGCCGTTATGATACAAAGAGAAAGTGAAACCCCCTTGCTGTTCATTCCAATCTGTAACGCAGACGCGGATCGTCGTAGGTGTTTGGTGAAATGAACTCGCACCAATTTGAAGGCTTCCTAAACTGTGCCCATCATACCTCTATTCTGGGGCTGGGGATGAGGCTGGTCCTGGAATAAAAATCCCATAGTCCACATTGACTTACCGCTGCCATTTCTACGGGTCCTGCGTCCGGGTCCACCACCAGCAGTGCTCCATACAAGACACCAGTGGTAGCTTCCCTCCAAACTCTCGAGTCACCTCCCATCTGTTTTGATTTGAGAGCCAGATCGAAGTATTTTCCGGCTAGTGTGTTTAGAGCCAACTGGCAGTCAGAACTGGTCAACTGGTTCGCTCCGCATATGATTGAATAGTCGTAAGAGCTGAGGTAGTCACGGAGTTTCTCTGATACGTCTTCCCAGTCATTGAGTGTCAACCTTTCCGATATGAGTAAATCTATTTCAGAGGTGAAACAAGAGATTGTTTGGACAAATGTATATGAGCTAGCAGTCCTCAGTTTATTTTGTAACTTTCTTGAAATGCCACGAAATACAGTATTGCAAATCAACCAAAAAACAGTTAGGAACTACTGTTACTCTTGAGCGTCGCAAAGGTAATTCAAAGGATGAACACTGATGTTATGTGTCACTTTGAAAGTGTGAAATAGTTGGGAAATTGCTTTAAGAACAACAGGTTATCGTGTAATACTCCAAGTTCATAAACGTGCACAACCATAGAATTAGAACTTCAAGGGGATTGAAGTTCATGTCGGCACGCTGCTGGTTAGAAAGATCAAGTAATTGGAACTCCGTGATCTGGATTCTTAGGCTTAAAATCCTTCTGGGTGTTTCCGAGGTCATTATCTGTCACTGGATCTCTCTCTTTTATTTTCACTTTTTATGAAAACATTAAATCCGGTCCTTTTTCCCAGCACAGCCGGTGCTTCATTCGCACCACATTCACTGCCCCATAAAAGTTTTTCTGAATCGAGCAAGGACGATCCTATGGACGGAGTATTCGGATTTCAGAAGTTCGTAGCTCTGGCCAATGTCGTTTTGTTCATGAGGGTTTGCAATTAGTTTGCAAACGTTTTTGTGACTAATCGGGGCAACAATGGGCGTTTGGGTAGGTCATTTCGAGGATACGCTAGTTCATGAGCTAACAGGTCTTGTTCACCTGAGCAAACCCCAATAAATGCTGTTGGAAAACGCATCAAGTGGAACAAAATTTAAACCAAATACGCTGTTCCCTTGCACACATTGTTCCTTCGCTTTCAGGGGCCAAGTCAGCAATCATGCTGTTTACGGTATCGGCCGTGTTTACCCCATCTTTTGCACAGCTTTCCGCCACACTTCTCACGCGACGTTTGATAAACTTCGATCGTACTGTCTACTTTCTCCTCCCATTATTTTCACTTCTGTGGTCTGATTGGCTTCTTTAACTCCCTAGATCTTTCATTTATTAAGTACAGCGTGATGTCTAATGCGTTCCCGCAACTCCAAAAGGCCTTCGTTTCCGCTCACGTACAGGTGTGTTGTAAATCCCTCAAAGTTTTTGGTTTCATAACCAAGGGAAAATACCTTGGCGGAAATAACACTATGAGGCCACTTCTTGCCATTAATAGAGGTGCAAGTCCAAATCGGACTTAGCCCTCACAATACCCACAGTTTTACGCTCGTTTTCGACCTCCAAGTTTGCCCGTCAAACCCAGCCCCTTTGAGATATCAGGTGGGTGAATAACGGTAATCCAAATACGATTTAAAAGATAGGACAGCTGGAACCGCTATACAATTCATGTGGAGTTCATAGTTGAATATGATAGTGATATGGATGGTAATATGTGTATCAGGTAATTGTTAGTTCGTTCTCCGAGTGTGACAAATAACTTGCAATTGTCTTCAATTGAGGAGGCATCATCAGGGGCTGATGATGTTGCTCGGCGCAGCGTACGCACACGTAGACTTTTGGCACAAATTAAGACATTCTCCAGGGTTGTGAAGGTGTTCATGCAGAGTCCTCTCTACGTCATCTTTATCTATGAGCACACTCCTCGGAACAAAGATCGAGTGTGATCTGGCTTTTCTCCGGCTAATTGAGTACGACAAACGTGCATTATAGTGGGACGCTGACAAAATAAACAGAACGGGATATAAGTGCAAAAAAGCAAGAATGGACTTGAGATCACGTGAAACTGGATCCCCGAACAACAGTCAATGGTGTACTGTTAAGTGATTCGAATAAACAATGCCGACATCATTGCAAGATGAACTGGACTGTGTGAAGTTGTGCTGCACTTTTCGTCGATACACCTTTCTCAGCTCTTTCTAATTCGTCTTCTAAGTATTGGTTTCACTCTACACGAACCAATACTGCTTGGAGTGGTGACACGGTAATGAATGTACCTACCTGTGTGTACCTGGAAGCGCGTTTGACATGCCTTGCAACCGCAGGAAAAGCGTAGCGTATACGCGAGAATGTCTGTACCTAGGTGGTAAAAGCTACAGCTGGTCTTTTTCGCAACATTTTACGATGTCCTTTGAAACAGAGTACAGTTCACGCACCACATGTTTCCTCATCCCGCGTATTCACCACCAGAAGGTAGATGAGGCACTGGGCCACAAAATGTCAATGGTAGTGAGGATAATTTAATCGGTTGAGGTTTCGGATAATGCTATTTTACGGTTGGGAGTTTCTTCAGGTCCTGGTCCCCAGTGCTCTTGAAGGATTGGAATACCTCCAGGAGGGATTCACCTCATTTGCGGTTAGCCGATCTAAGCGGAATTGGCAACCATGGCCTGTGGCTACTTACAAACTGTGAGTAGTGTTAATAGGTAGTTGTCAACCTTAAACGTTCGCCCAGTGAATCTCCATAACGACGTATCCGCTTTTTGGGCAGCCGAAAATCTGGTTGTGTTGTAACTATTGTGAGTAGTTTAATAGGTAGTTGTCAACCTTAAACGTTCGCCCAGTGAGTCTCCATAACGACGTATCCGCTTTTTGGGCAGCCGAAAATCTGGTTGTGTTGTAACTATTTTTCCCAGCACCGAAGAATTACTGTGCTGCCGCACTTCGTTAATACTTTCTAATGCTGACTGTCCCACTTCTGTGCTGCCTTTACACAGCTAGCGTTTTGAAAACCGGTGATGACATTTCGCTATCCAGTTCAAGTGTTAAGGCTTCATTCCTCAAAGAAAATTTGACGTCAGCATTATCGCATGCACTGCGATTTCGTTAGCTCTTTGGTGCAGGAAATCCATTAGGCCTTATCCATCCCATTGATTGCATAATCGAGCGATACAGAGTGAATAGACGTAACGTTTTCATGAGGAAGACTACTCACAAGGTTGTTGAAAACTCTTCAGTTCAGCTGATTATCCAGTGAGAACATAATTACTGTGCAAACTTGTCGAAACGTCAAGTTCCTTTTACTCACTTCAGTAGCGAAAGTCCAATCTCCCGTTTATCGGTGGATTTTGATGGGTCACCTGATTAGTACCAGATATATCTCAGTCAGGTGATTAATGGCGTACGTGTATCGAGGCTATAGCCTTGAATGCGTAGGTGTCCATTTTTCGTTTCTTTAAGCAACTAAACTAATCGAATGCTAACTAACTGATCGTACCATTCTCTACAATAATTGGTTATATCCTTCCGCTCTATCCTAGCTGTTACCACAACTGTAGCAGCTGGAACCAACTAACTCATGGCATCTACTTCATAGCTGATAGACCGAACTGAAGTGAAACAGCATAGCCCGTTGGTTTGGTTCAACAATTTTTTCGTGCACGACTGGCCCAGTTAATTCCGACTGTCCATTTTCCACGTTGTTTAAAAGAAAGTTTTTAGTGGTCCCTGTCGATAACGATGAATACTAACCCACACGTTTTCTTACTGCACAAAGGGCATTGTAAGTTTACAAGTGAGGTTATCATGAATAGGGTAGGCTGTGCACAGATTCCTGCTCAGATCTGACACATGGTAAGGCAAATGGGAAAGAGGATTCACTACTCAAAAGCTCAAACATTATGGGTTTCGAAATTTCGTCGTTATCATTTATTTATTCACTGGTTTTCATATCCAACTTGTGGTTTCAAGGACTTTTTGTAAGTGAAGTTGAAAAATTTATCCGCGTGAGCAAAAATCTACGATTTTGCTGTATCTGGGAGCAGCCTCTTTAGCTCATAGTACCGTGATTCCTACGGAAGTTATGTAATGTACAGACTTGGGAGGGGTCTTGGCTAGTTAGAGACTATCTGTGCAACGATTCATTACTGCACGTTTGAAGTGGCTCGCTTACCTTGTGACCCTTCCGACCCATCCACTCCATTGTAGTGGTATCCCAAGCTGCCAGCGTACACACTTAATAAGTGTTGGATAAAAAGTCCAACGATGAGATTTCGGTACCGGCGTCGAGGGTAGCCTGTTGCAATGGAAGATGACATGTTCTTCCAACCGATGGTTTATGTGAATCTGGAAAAACAGGAACCCGGATCAGTTATTCAGAACACATAAGCGAGTAAACCGTCTTCGCCTTGATGTCATGTGTGACCTTCCTGGCGTTTTGTGATAGTCTATCGATATGCACATAGAAAAACTGAATACACATCGGGCATGACATATTCAACGTTACGTTGCGAACAGTTAGAGTAAAGGGAGTATAGACGCCAAGATGCTGCCAAGTGGCTTAAACAGGACTAGCCCAATCTTTCGGTCAGGAACTTACTCCTGAATTTCTAGATGTCTTTATTTCCTACGTATTGGTCTCTTAGCACATAATCCATTGGTTTACTCAATGCTGTCTGTGCGTTCATCAGGAGTTTGTACCAACAGAGTTGTCGGAATTAGGTGGAAATTAGCTGCGCCCCGCTCCACCACATGAAATGACCAGTTAACACGTGTTCATGGCCACATTAATCGTAGTCATGCTTTTTCCACTTCACTTGTGTAAGCGGATTCAAGGTTAGTAACAGACAATCGAATATTGCCTTTGTCGCTAAACCCGGGAAAACACCTGATTTTGGTCGTCTGAAGCGGGTAATTAGCTCACACTGTAGTCTCATGTTTGGTGATGAAACATTTGCTGAGTTGGATATTTCTGTCCCAAGCTTTCTGTCACCAATGCTTGTGGTAGAACATTGTTCGAACGAGATTCCCAGCTCGGGGAATAACTCTGTTACCAAGTAGACAACATGAGCTGCAAACCTCCCCGTTTACATCAACGTTGACAACTATTTTCGTGCCTGTGGAAGGTCTGTGAGAAAACAAACAATGTCCTCAATCGGCTTTTATGTTTCTGACATACTTATATATGTCCTGTCAGTAGGAGTCGTTTTGTGCCAAAAAGGCGTGAAATTCTTTGTAGCTGTTTAGTCTTTTTCTGATGAGAATTTTCGGTGTGTACTTTACTAATCGCTGGAACCTTCCGAATCACAGTTGTGCACTATTCGGCTGTTGCTAGCTAAGCAATACGGTCAACTTGTACCTTGGCCTTCCCTCACAGAATAGGTTCCACATCTGCAGCATTTCAATCCCGAACCATGAGTAACAGGTTGAAAAAGAACAGATACTTCGCCATGTCCTGTCGGTTGGCGGGTCATTGTTCCGCGAGCTAGATGGTGCTACCTGAATCCGCGTGGTTGTGCGATGAGTCGCGTTCTGTTCTGTCTAAGTGCAAGATAACCACTGCGGAAGTGCATGGGCTTAAACTTTATTGTAATTTGTGGGATACGTATTACTGATTCCTCACAAAAACCGTTAACGCTCTTGTTGGTTAGCTTTGCCGTGGAATATGAATTTCACACATAGTTTCTAAATTTCTGACCCAATCACATTAAGCTTCAGTTCTTCCGAAGTTATTGATTATTCGGACCGTTCAGTTTCTCGCGTTCACTTTAATTTTTTACTAAAACGTACTCTTAGATAGAAATATCCTGGTAGAAAAAACTCCGTGGAGGTGCTCGCTACTAAGAAATGCAGCAAGCACGAAATCCTTCCTCACCAAGGAGGATTCATTGAACTGCTGGTGACCTATTAATGTTACGCTTTTGTCAGAGCCTGATGGAATGTTTTTCCGTCCTTGTGTGTAGCTCCGACTTTCGATGTTTGTGTGCTTCATCAGGTGTTCAGAGTGCCCTCTATTAGGAGTCTGGATTTACATAAAATCTTGCCTGATAGAGAACGATTTTATCAGTTTGCCAGGGGAGTGGCTTTTTTCAGAGGGATTCTTTCTGGGGAATCGTGGCACTAAATTAGCACTATAGGAGTGTGTACTTTGGTGATATCTCTCCGTAATCAACTTAGAAGAGGTCATTTTATACGAAGGAGGTTTTATGATGTAACGAAAGCAGTTAGAACTTGGTGAGTTCAACCACCTGAATATCGTAGCATTTCGTTGTTTCACTTTCCAGCCTCAGTATCTTGAACCCATATGACAAAATGACTTGTCTCGTCAACTGACTCGATCAAAGCTAACCTGTTGTCTGGTGATCCGGTGGAAGTTGATTTAACGCGACAGTCAACACTTTGATGTAGATTAGTTGCAAGTGCCATTATTATGCGTTCGCACTGAAAATTACGCCACTTTAAGATGAGAAAACTGTCCTTTAGGGTTCCAAGATTTGGGCTTTATCGAGCGAGTCAGATTCCTGAAGCAACCTCAGAACGCCCGAAACCTACTGCTCCACCGAAATCTCAACAGGAAAGTCAGCAAGCATCCAGGCCGGTCTATCATTCAATCACTAAAGCCTATCAGACAGCCTGGATCAGTGTCAGAAAGTCCCCTTTAAATAGCATGGGGCCGTTGTAACTTTTGCTGTCGCACTCGTCTGTTCGGAATATAGTGGTTGTGTTCCCTTCTGTGAGTCTTTTCTTCTCCGGCATTAGGCACTGGAGCTGGTCAGCAGCTGATAAAACAGATTAACGAATCAGTAGATATAACAGGCTTCTTGTAGGAGAGCGCAGTATAAAATGTAATTCATTTTCCACGTGTAGTGAGAGTGGTTGCCTCATTTTTCATATCCCACTGGCTCGGCCGTCCCAACAGCCCGCATACGGACTCCGAGTTGTTTTACGCTTTAACCGCGGATTGCCATTGGTACGCACTTGAATGACATCACGCATGGGTGCTTCGCTCACCTCCGTATGGGCATGAATGAACCTACTTGGGTTGGCTAACAGTAACGGTTTACTTATCAGCCTTGCAAGAATGGTCACATTTCTCGCCTTCAGGGTTGGTGGGAGACCTGACTTCTAGCAGTCAGTATATGCCAGGACGAGTTTGAGTGGAAAAAACAGCTTTCGTTGTCCTTTCCAGTGGGTGGCGGAGTTCGTCAAAGGGTGTATGTTTCCATTTTTCTACTTCATTTCGATTTATGATATTCTCAAGCTGGCTGGCTAGAGTAGTTGCTAGTGACGTGAATTTTATCCCAGAGAATAGAGTCATTATCCCAAACCGTGTAGATAGTTACATCTGGCCTTTGGTTTGTGCGCTGGACAGTTTCGTTGCAAAAGTTTTATCACTGGTCAAAGTGACATCATCAGTGCGTTGTACTTGGAAGTGCATGGCTATTGCGCATGAGTGAATTGGTGAAGGGTTCACTCACCCAGTTAAATCTACCTTGTATACGCTGTCGAGTCGCCTAGGGTTTTCTTTTTAAAATCCATGTATAATTTGCTAATCTGCTCTTACTACAGCTAGTAATTGTGAATTGATTTATATGGCTATGAGGCCAAATATCGGAAACGGAAGAAATCAGCTCTGAAATCTTTGAAGCAATAGTGACTTTGTACTACATTCAACATCTCTAATTCTCGGTTGTAAGAGCCGCTTGAACTCGACAGCGATGTGATCACGCGCCTAGGTCTTGATGGATAAATGGTACGGGGGCTTTTAGTAGGTATGCAGCGTATTTGTTTGGATCAAAACTCCCTCAGTTGTTTATAGGAACTATATTTGAGCTTCTGGGTTTGCTTGTGCGCGACCTGCACGATCCAGAACACTCGACGTTTTCCAATCCCGTGGCTTCCCAGTTCTATTCTTTCTAACTCGGTAAGTTTGCAATAGCGTAGACATAAAGAAACTTGACAGCGGTGATGTACATAGGTGATCGAGTGCGCACTTTCCATTGGGTGAGTATTACTATGCTTTCTGTAATGGCCTACTTCAGCGTCTGAAGATGGGTCACTGTGCGTTGGTCTAGCCGGTGTGGGGCGTCTCTGAATGACAGTGCCTTACAGAAATAGTGAAATTGGCTGTATTGCCTATCGTTCACTCATGAGTATAAAGTTGATGGGTGTTGGATATAGACTGCAAGTTAATCCGATTTTCACCCTGAAACCACAGCCCCACAAATCACGCAATAGGCGATCTGGTTAAGGAAACGTGATGGGTTGGAGCTATTGAAAGGTTTTAATGGTAATTTATATGGTCTGTTGAGTTTGGAAGACAGCTGGGTTTGCGGTAAAGCTGTAGAATTAGATTATCACGAATTTTTTTATTGGCCCAGTTACCTTTGTTCATTAGTTATAGTAAATTCACAGGTTTGTCCTCACCTAACACCTTGATGATGAAACACAAAAAGAAAACATTTCTCGTTTTCCACGTTGTTTGGTTGCAATCACGAAGTAACTAAAACCACCTCTCAGAAACGGACGGGAAGTCTCATCACATTTCACAAATATTGTTGGTGACATCTCAGCGCGACAGGTGCCTTACGATTCTTATTAGTCACCCTCCCACAGGGAAATTCTGCATCGGTCTAACGTTCTGCTAGCCCTGGAAGATGTTAGTTCCAACAAAGCGCTATGTACAGAGCGACCTACAGCACCATAATGCTTCTCAACCTGAGAAGGTATTTACATTGACCATTTGTTTTTACCCACATCCCTAACACCAAACCCAGCAAGCTTTGTCCTCTCCTGATTTCCGCTGTCAATGTTCCTTCATTTGACATTATATACTAAAGTTACCTCAACAGATTTTATAGAATATCAGTTCTTTAGAACTGCGTGTTCGTCAGTTCACACGAATCACTCGATAGAATGCCAAGCTTATTTGTCTTGTTGAGAAAGTCGGGATGGTTCACCCACCTGGTTCTATTTTCCACTGTGATATTGATAATATCGAAGATTAAGAATCGCTTTAGAAGTTCGAATTACTTTAAATGATAAAGGTACTTGCGTTGATGTTCCAACGCGCGGCACCATAGGTTCTCCATCATTGGTTTCCAACCAGTTTAACTTAGCCATCCTTTGCGCACGATGATAAGACTGGAGCAGTACAGTCATAACTCTCTGCGTAATTTCAATGGACGAATTTCCGCCCTTTGCACAGAACTTGTCGAGAAAACCATTCCGTCATATATGTTCCGCCACTGTTACGTACACTGCTCGACATTTCATCTACATCAGAACAATTCTTGCCAGATAAGCTTCTATTTTTCAAAGATTCGCTTTTGCTCTTCATTTGACTCATTGATTGCACTTGGGCGAATCTAGTTTGTCGTTTTGCCTAAATTTCCTTTCGCTACGCGTAGGAATCTCAAGCGTCTGGACTAATGAGGTACGTCTTTGCTCCTGTTTAATTAGACAAACCCCCATGAAATGGCAACTATGGTGCGTTGTCTAACCTTAGTAATCCGGTAATTTGACGACCGCTGAAGTGATGGAGGCAAAGAATCTAGTCCGGCGGCTTTACAGCACCGTTGAGAAATGTTTCTTATTGTGTCAAAGTCTGTAATGCTGTTATGTGTTCCAGGCCGAACGGATTGCGCACAACTCAGGACGATTAAATCAGATTACATGTGATACCGGAACGAAGAGTTCTCGTAGTTTGGCACGGAGGTCCAGTACAACAGATTTAATGTAGCGGTAACCAGTTACACACTGAGAAGTATACCTTTTGAGAACCGTACGTGTGCCATCCCCACTACCACGGTTATTTATTTTTAATTGAAGGGAATTTCTGTTAATATTTAAGCACACCTTTCCAGATCGCAGACCACTATCTAAGTTAGGGAACTTACTTTAAGTTCAGAGTGGTATGTGTTTAACGTAGACAGTTTGGAAGTATGGACTAACTACCAATACTTTGGGAACACAAACAATCCACCTACTGACCGAGAATATTTATCAGCGCGTCACACAGTTTGCTTCAAACTGTCTGCGACAAACGGTACCATCTCGTTTGCTCCCAAGACGAAACCAAAAGGGATCGTTAAAGTCCCCCGCATTTGGAAGGATTTCACTCTTCATGGCTCTGTAATAATGCAAAGGCAGGATCTTATCCCATTTGTATTGTATGAGCTCTGAATTACTACTTAATATCGTTGGATGGGGGCTGTCTATCAGGTGTAGAATCGTTGGTGGATCGCGTACACGGCTTGTTCACCAATCATCTTGCTGACGGAGTCGGTCTTTCCCATCCTCGTTACCCGTTTTTTCTCAAGGACCGCGTCCTATTTTTAGTAACTTTCACTTTTGTCACAATAATTGGGACAGTGATGCTGTGAAAAAGAAACAAAGTTTTCAGATGATCTTATCTCGATTTCCAACCAGTTCATCCATGAATCTGGTTGTGTTCACCATTCTGTCTGTCGGAGTCGCTTTCAATGTAGATTGTGACCGAATTTCATACTACTGACCGAAGTGAACAGCATCTCTATTCTGACTGATGTGCACCAAAATCCAGAGATTTTATCTCTCGTGCAGTCGTATCCTCACGGCTCACGGTACCCTTTTCTCAGGCTAATTTAGCATGTTTGCTCCACTCTTATCGATCACCCTACAGTACTTGGTTTGAACTACTGGAAAACTGCACTTCTCTATCGTATCAGGGTATTTTACTCATGTTGAATGATTCTTTTGCAGCTTTCTATATATTCCTATTATCACCATCACTGCCTAATCTGTAAACAGAGGTAGCTTCAGTGATGATCGCATTTCTTCTGAACTTCCTACCCAAATTTACTGCTATGGATTGGGAATTCTTACAGGCTTTCGTGTATTCTTTGTTTCCTTCATTCCTCAGCTCACATTTTACTGTTTGCTTCCTCACGGTGCACAAAACTACTGTGTACCATATTCTTTTCACGGGCTTTACCATTTGTGTTTGACCTGTTTTCTCCATCCGTCTACTTGTGAATGTCACTTACTTCAGTCTCTACTTTGTGGTGCTGTCTGAATCGGACATCTGCACCCTATGGTATAATGAACTCAGTTTTTTTTATTTGGACCCTTCCTGCTGCGCACAAATGTTTTTATCCTAATAGATATTTGGGGAGATTCGGTAATTTTCCACATAGATTCCGTCCTGTCATTAAAGCCAGTCTATGCTATACACCTGTTTCCTCGATGTTGTTGTTGGCCATCATCAGTGGACATCTCACGGAACACAGAGGTTCGAACCCGCGACCTTTTAGCTGGTGGTTGAACAGTGAGCTGTTTGGCCACGAGTGTCTGATCAACAGTGTGATCAGCTCTCACTCATCCTTCAACACAGGATTATCTATTCACTGGTCCTGCAAGTAATGACTTCTAAGGCGGAAGTTTCACTCACCTTTTGAATTTGTCGTTATTCTTTAAGAATTTCTTTTCCCCCTTCCGTCTCTACACGCTTGTAGGATTTTCTAGCTATGAGTACCACATCCTGACTACCAGCTGTTCCAGTTTTCTCGGTGCGCTTATCCACTGATGCCAGAGCTGCTTTTCCAAAACATAGGTGGCTGCATTCTCCACTGGGTAAACAACATCGTTGCAACCGCTCTCATAGTTCTCTTTCCAAGTTTTCAAATAGCTACGTCTTTTCTAGGCACTAAGTTAGCTGAGTGGCTAGAGTGCGAATTTACTGACCGGAAGGTGCGTGGTTCGAACCGGACCTCTGCATCTCGACTTCTTGTTGGGCTTGGCCAAGCTGACAGCATCTGAGCCCTTGTGCTTCCGTCGGGTGGCATGGCACCTAGGCAGAGGAAGAAGCTATAGCTGAACTATTGTTATTATTGTTGTGATTGTAATTATCGTTATTACGCCTTTTCTAGTGCTTTTTACTGTTCCCCCATCCCTTTTTCCCACTCGCTCAGAAAGTCCCAACTTAACTTGCTGCTCTCTCACCTCTTGCATAGGTTACTTCGAACATTTCCCACCTATTTTGTATCCAATATCTAATCGGGATGTCTTTTCTATTGGTTCCATCTCAGCCAGCTGTTCCTCGCCTCTATACGTTCTCTTCGGATGTGATTCTTACGGCAAAATTATGAAAAATGTTACATCTTTTTATAATACCAACACGGAAACCAATAATAACTCACCAACTCCCGCTTCTTTGGATATTCCCTGTTCAAACTATTGTCGAATGAGGTTTTTATGCCACCCTATTTACCCGTCAAACTCGAACACGATTGGCTGTCCTCATTAAATCTAATCGAATGAACCAATCAACCACTTGTTGAGCATAATACGTACTGCTTAAAGTGAATTTTTGCTTAAAAAGATAGTTATGTTCCGATCAGATCAGTGACATATTTGTCTTTTTATTGGTCCATAGTTTGTCGTTTGCATGCCAGACTGTCATTGTCAACTAAATCCACGTTCATTCTAAATATATTACAGCTAACTGACTCATTTTTACGATATAGGAATGGCGCGTTTTCGTCGCACTTACAATAAACGCTAATACAGTTGCATGAAGCTGGCCAAGGAGGGTAATTGTGTTACTTTGAAGCATCAGTGTCAACACTGATGTTGCTGTCTTTGGTAGTGACGATTATGTTACTTTTAAGCAAACATTCGTTTAGTGATTCCTGTACGTGGTGGCTGTTGTTTAAGTAATGCGCATGCGTACGGTGTAGACCAGATTTCTCCACTCCGGAAAGTTGGATCACTTCTGAGGACAAATCGCTGATGTGTTAACTGCCACCGTTGGTTTGAGGGGGAAAGTCTTGTTGCTGAGTAGCGCTACCCTGTCATTCCATAGGTACACTTCCATGCTGCGCCTTAAACAGCGATTTTTGCCGAGAACTTATTTCTTGGAACTTTTGTTATACTTGCGCAATCTTGATTTCCCTCCTTCCAATCACACTGCCATTTCTTTACTGGTTTTCTGAGTACCCGATTTCTCTAGCCCTCTAAAAATCGTAGTTTCCGTTTGCAACTTGGTTATTATTGACCCGTTCTCAGTTTTGATTTCCCATATGGTTCTCTGCCCATCCAATTCTTTACCGCTGGTGCTCAACAATTTCCAACTGGTCGTTTACACCCTACTTTCATGCTATAATTTCACAATCTTTTCATCCGTGCTACTTCGTGTCCGGGTGTTTGTAGTTTGTTCCAATAGATTTTGGTCAAATTTGGTCTACCAATGCAAAGAAACTTGCAAGTCTGGCCACCGTAGCCAGGAAGCCACGACGCCCCACTACTCTACGCGAGAATGATGTTGACGATCCGCTCATGCCACCTGGTCTTCATCCTCTCATTTCATCTTTATTTCCAGGCAACCGTAGCTTCGAAAAATTTCGTGCTTCGAAGCCTGCAATGCCTTTCAGATACTTGGTATCCCGATCTCTTTCTTATGCTGCTCACTCCAGACCATTTTATCCGGCAGTTGCTGAGGTGAGTTCCTGGAAAGAAATTTGCCCACATTCTTTGACTTATCTGTGTTGTTCGCATGATAACTAGTAAAATAAGATTTCTCTAATGTGTCGGTATTTAGGCATCAGTTTCCACCCGAAACGGAAGCTATCTCTTCTTTACTTTCCAACGGTCCTGCTTTATTTTGTTTGTGTAGCATGTATATACACACTTTTTTGTCTATTCCAAGTTGACGCTCATAACTGATTCGTACGGACACGTGCTAATGTGACCGAGCACTCAGATCATTGCCTCGGTTGCCCTTTGCTGACCTGAGAGAATACCAACGTCATTTTTGATTATTCTTCCACTCTTGTTTGCCACTTACCTGGTGTTTCGATCGGTGTTGTTCTCTGCCCTATTAACTAAAAACCTGTCCTCCAAGATGATTCACCATAAACTCAATGGACCTTAAGGGGACCAATAGACGAAGACATGTTAGTAGAAAGTTCGGGTGTCTGTTGTGGATGCATTAAGACCTCCTGGATTACTGATTGAAGCAACGCCGACAGAACACCTACAGTTGGTCGTACATGTGAAACGAAGACAATTGCTTAGTCCGGATTGGTCAGACGTGCGTGTCCCATCAATGCAGTTGCTTACTAGGGTGATATGGCTACAGGGTTTTGTTCTGTGCTTCAGATCTTTCAACGCTTGTTGGCTCATTCGGTCTGTTTATTTCATGGCTTAATTATCCCATGAGTTATACAGCTTTTCAGGATTTAGTGCAAGACTGCTCATTAAGGACACTAGGATAAGATTGAATCGGCTAAGCGTTATCGTTAACCTTCTTTGAAGCTCAACTAGACGGACTCACTACCCTCTAGGATACTTTGTGCATTTGTCTTTTTTTAAAGTTTTTCTCATTCCTGAGACTCGTGCAACTAAATTTAGCTATCGCTCTCATCATGCAACTTAACATGCCAGCCGCGGTATCCTCTTGGTGTGTAGCTGTCGTGCAACTGGTACAACCGAGATGTCTAAATGGTTAGAGTGCGAATTCACTGACCGGAAGGCCCGTGGTTCGAACCCGACTTCTGCCTGTCGACTTCCCCTGTCTAGCTTGGCACCCTGGCAGTATCCCGGCCCTCATGCTTCCCTTTGGTGGTACGGCATTTATGCACCGAAAAGGCGCTACAGCTGAACGATTTGTTAACCACCGTAAACAATATGAATCTCAAGAGCCTCGGGATTTCCGAATTTTCAAACTTTTTAGCAGTGCTTGAATGACTGCCTGATGATGTCTTCAAAATGAGCAGGACCGGGGAAGCTTGTCCCCACTGTGAGCGTTGCGTTGATTTTATTCCTAGGGCACACCTTTACATTCTGGAGATATGAAAAGTAGTTCAGTATTCGAATCGGCGGCGATTTACGATTCGCAGATAGACTGCAGTGTCTCGACATAATTAGATAAAGAATTCATTTTGTCATGTCTTTCACTCTATTTCCAAAGATGGAAAACTAATAATTAACAGTTTTCCCGTGGATTTTCTCGGAAGGGTCCAATGGGCCCAAAAAATTGAGTAACACCTACCAATTAATTGCAAACTTGTGTACAAACCTGGTTCGCAAATTTGGGTTATGGAAACCTGATACTCGGTTAGATCTCAGGCGATACTCTTGTTTGCAGTGTTGTTTGACTGAATATTCTGCAGTTATCTCACCATGCTCCACGTGGTAGGATATTCAATGTATCGGGCTATTTCTGCTGATACGCTTATACGGTTATCATCGACCCTATGAGGGTTGTCACATCGAGTTGAGTCCAAACTTCTCTGTTCAGCTGTTGTGGCCCCACTCTCACTTCAGCGGAGCCTGGGCGTCCATAGGAAGTTTCGGTGAAATAAGTTGAATCAGCTTTATAGAAAACAACTAATCATGTTTCGGAGGCGAATATGTTCTGAATGTCAGTGTCCACAACGCTTAGCGGCAATATGATTACGACAGCCTTTGGGTTTACATCCCAGACCATAGTAAAATGATTATTTCAGTAGTGAGCACACTAAGAGCATATCCTCATTACGCCGTTAATATCAGATATTCCCTTTGATCAATAACTGAATGTAAATCGCCGTTAAAATGTACCGTGAAAATCCAACACATCTACATGTTACTGCACAAAGGCTGTCTTCGTTACTCATGTTTTTTGTGTGTTTTCGTCACCATGCGAGGGGACAGCATCAGTGCACATCCCACTGGTGAGCTCACCTCGGATTCTGATGAAACGTCTGCAAGCCAATTACCGAACAGATCAACAACCACCCGATCAACTACCAAATAAGCAAAACGTACTAAATACTTTTGCTTACCATTGTTCTCAGTTCAGTAGAACGTGTTGTGCAGTTACAGAGCGCCCAAATGCCATCTCACGGTAGGTCGATACCACCTTACCGTTCTTCATCGCCTTTTTCACGAAATGTACTCGCAGTCTGGCTACTTGCAGCATTTTGGAGCCGGATTCCTAGTGAATGGCAACTCCATAACATACTGCCTTAAATGGAATAGGCAGAATTCACTTGCGTGGTATTTTGGGGTTGTATCGATGGGGTCGTCTTTTCCAAAAGATTAACACTTCTTCTTTGAGAGAAAAGGACCCCGTGGTTCCTTTTTTGAAGCTACTTCCAACTGCTTCTTTTGTTTTTGTGCGTTGACGATAGGTGGGGGCTATGCCCACCTTAAGAGCCCCGAGAACTGCGAAATCTCGCTGTGTATCGACTAGTTTTCAAGAAGCTTATGAGTAGCATGCTTCTTCAAGAGAAGAGATGGATTTTGTCCAGAGCAGGGGACTGTTCCTCCTCTAAGTATACAACCAATGACGGAAACTTCGTTAACCTGAATGCGGTTTTCGATGATTTACCTATCATGTTTTTTGCATGCGGATTGTCATGCTCATTTACTACGGAAACTCATGTCTCTAATCTGTTTCCATATTTCAGTTTTGGTGATTACGCTAAGTCACGCTAATCCTATTTCTGTTAAGCTAGGAGCCAGTATTCTCGAGTGTATTGAATACCAGTCAGAATATGAAGCAGAAGCAGTACCGTTTCTTGGCTGTAATGCTATTGTAACATCACTTCGGCACGAGCCTTGTTTGGTCCTTTCCACCTTTAACACAACAATAATAACTCCTCGTAGCAACCATGTTCAGCTGGATTTCCGTAGGGTTTCTTAGTTCAGCCAAGTCACCCTCCATTTCACCAGCATTTTCAGAAAAGGGCAAAATTTAGCTCGAGTTCTTTCGTAATCGGTTGGTTATCATAGAATATTTTTTGTCATTGAACGATCTTTTGTATGCCACCAGAGACAAAGTCATCATCAGCCCCAACATCCTAGTACTCCGTCATACAAGGCCGAATAGAGAACGCAATTGTAAAGACTGAAAGTAAGGGACAAGGTTGGGGAATTAGCGATCAAGAACGTGATTCCCACACCTAACAGCGTTTAGGTGAGCACTTTTTCTGGACCTACGATTCCTTTCGACAATACCTTTCGTGAAATTTACCTCGGTTGCTTCAACTTCATGTTTATCATTTCCTGACTTTGTCGAAATCCTCACAACTAGCCGTCCTACCGTGGTTGGGGTCACTGCTTTGTAAGCAACATTTTGCACCACTGTGGAAGGTAGTCGTCTTTCAAAACTGATCAATGAGTAGGTGGGAATTGCAACGTTATGCTAAGATGTGAAGGAATTGATGGATGACATGATCACTTCACCTTTAATAGGGCATAGGTGCTCACTTCAATGCCAACATGCTTAGACTGGCTGAGAGCTATAAAGACGCGTCTGCGAATCAGCCCATCGATCTTATTTCTTCCGGTTTATAGGTTCACAGACAACAGTACCTACAACTCTGTCCAAACAGCCAAATGAAATATGAGGCGGCCTGTGTACAGCACATCCAGTTGTAGAATATCATAAACGAAGGATTTAGTTGAGTCTCTCATGAAAACCAAATTGAGTTGCATCAGTACATGGGTTGATTACTGCTCGTTTTCCAGAGTTTTACTGGGCGGGGGAAATATGGTTTGATGCTTCCAGCCAACTGCATGGGTCTGGGTGTTTTTCCGTTACGGCCAACCGTTTTCCTCTGTCCGGTTATTGCCTCTGAATCCGAACTGCTGAAATTCCCCCATCCTCAGGGGTACTGCCTACCTGGAGCTTTCTTACAATGGAACGACTACTTACATATTGTAAGTAGTCGGGGTACTTATAAGTCCCAGTTATGATTCTAATCCTTCAGGAGTGCCTTATAAATGTGATCCTCATTTAATACCAGCAGCAGCGGCGGATAGGAATTCTCAGTGAATCAGCATCAATTGACTCTCTCCTAGTGTGAAATTCACATTTATACCTTTTAGATTTGGTGAATATTTGACATTTCTGGATACTTACTTTTTGGAAAAGAAGTATCTTTTTGAGCAATTTTCATAGTTGGGTGTTGAAGCTGCGCGCAACTGTCAGCTGTGAACTTTCGTTGCTTTCGTTAATTGTGTTTTGACGTTCTGAAATATCAGTTCAGTCTTGCAGCAACACCTCGCGGTTTGAACCGAGTGCATTTTGATCTATACTACCCGAAAGGGAGTTGACGAAGCAACCTAACCGCAGTTGACCTAAGCAGGGTGTAATGTTGACCGTTAGTTTATTCGCTAAGCTGGGCTGTTTGGCTGCTAACGTTCCATCACCACTCGAGGTGACACCATCAGTTCTTTGAAATTGGAAGTGCGTCCAAATTACCTGGCTCAACGAATATACCACTGACCTAAGGGAGGTGTATTCTTCTCAAAGCAGTGTTTTGCCGAAAGTTGATTTTTTACGCACCCGGTCCTGTCGGTGAAATCAAGCTAATCCGAGCTGGGAGGTCATGACATTGACGATAGGCTCGTTCTGGTGTTATTCATCTCTCTCGAAGCTGTACCCGTTGTGGATTTTTCATCTCCTGCTGTCAATCACGGTGTGCTTGGAGTCTACCCATACGTGAAAC